TTTCTACTCCGCGTTTTGTCTCTTATTTTCGAGTTACGTATTCGTACATCCATGATTCATTGCCAGTTGTTACCCTGTCGATGAAATCTGGGATATCTGTTGAGTCTGTTGACAGCAGTGGACTCGTCGAAGTTTCTGTTCCCTTGATAGAACAATTTCCGCATGTTCAAATCATTATGCAAAATTGCATACGAACGGCGAGTCGTGGCGTCGTGAAATTTCGAGCTGCGAAGAGATATTGTTCGCTTCGACCGAATAGAATGTTGCAGCGTCGTCGATCTAAGAGAGAGAGAGAGAGAGAGAGAGAGAGAGAGAGAGAGAGAAAACAAATTCCGCGTACACGTTTCGAGAGCTTTCGCGTGAAAAATAAAAAATTTCCACGTCACGGCAGATATTCCAGTCGAAATGATAAATCATCTGAAATATCCATTGTAGAAATCGATTAATCTGAGGGAAATTGATGATTTTCTGAGAGGAGGAGGGGGGAAAAAAAATTACTTGGCCATATATTTGTACCGTTTCGAATTCGATCTCGAACGTTGCTACATAATTCATCAAGCTGTAGAGATTTCAGGAATTCGAAGGAAGGTTTTAACGTGAATTTTTTAACCTGGCCCTCTGTTATTCAGGCAGATATACATCGTACATATGTACACATGTACACATGTACCGTAACATAGCGCAGTGAAATCGCGATAAATTCATGCCTCTTTCCAGCAAACCGGCCGTGCAGATATCCTTAACAATCGATTTGTAATCAACTTTTTTTAACCAGAATTCTCTCTTTTTCTTATGGCGAATTTACGTGTCTCTCAAAGATATAGTTTTTAAACGATTCACTTGTTCATCCTTCGATTTCTAAATAGATAATGTTAAAAATTTTATAACATTTTGTAACGTAAGTTTTTCACGTTACTCGTTGATTTTACGCGATTTCGTGTCATAAACTTTCACTTTCGATCAGTCGAGAGCTCGATAGCCATATTCGTTAAAAATACGACACTTTAACAATTTATTCATAAATTTGATGATAAATATGTGATCGTATATATATATATATTTTTACTTACAAAACTTACTATATTATAATTAAATTTCGTAATTTGAAAATGCACTCGTCTATCTACGTAAACATGTTTTAATGTAGTTTCGTTTGTTTGCTTTCTTTACTTTTCCTGGATTTCAAGTTCGCAATGGGAAAATTGTATTTCAAATTGTAATTTTTTGCAGGGATCGTTCTTATTTCGATACGCACGTAGAGACACTACATAGAAATTGAAAGAACTGGCAGATCAGTTGTTACGTTGAAACGTAACAGTTTACATTCATGGCTATTTAAATTTCACTGATCCTGACGACGTGCAATTTGTAAAAGAGGGTAAATCACGAAACGACCAATTCAAAACGTACTTTATTTTCAACGTAATTTGTAGTTACATTATGGAATTGGTGTTATTACCTTTCCTTAGAAATTGTTCCAAGTATAACCACATCCAAATTTTGTTCGTTACTTTCCATGCACTGATCTAAACTTCTCAAAGATATTTATAAGTGAAGGACAAATTAAATAAGAATCTCTAATTATTATAATATTCGTAAAAAAAAAAGTCAGAGAAAAAGATGTTGTTATGATGTTAACGAAAATTCATATTGAATTGATAATTTGATTTTATTTGTGATCAACTAACTTGGTCATCCTCTTTACCACCTAGTGTATTATTACGAGTATAAGTAATCGAGTTTATTTGTACGATGCTGAACTCAATTATTTTGAGATTATCGAGATCACATTGTGCAATAGCGTAGGCGTTTCTACCTGTAATACGTTTCTTTTAAAGTGAAATTACTTTCAAATTGGTTCGTTCTCCTCGCGGGAGCATTTTATCCGATGAAAGCAACCATTTGAACAATTAACTTATGCGATGGAATAATTGCCGCTCGTATTATCGTTAGGCGAGATCTTAACAAGTGCACGTTGCTTTAGCGTTGTTTCGTCAATTATCTAATTGCAATCGCAGGATAATGCGCAAATGCACTTTAAGTATAAAAAGTTAATTAAAAGCTATCTATGTACGAAAACAGCTCTTTTGATTCTGCTATTCTCTCTCTGCGTGAAATTAACTGACTAAAAATGGATATCCAAGGATTTCAGATATCCTTCGTGTCCTTCCTTTTTGTTGGACACTCTCAACGCGTTGTATCTACAAACGCGAAATAGAGCACCTTGAAACATTCTGCAAGGGTGTTTATATCGCCAGCATTCCTGCAGAATTTTCAAGCGGTTCCAATTTGACTGAAGAGAGATACTAAGAGAGGACCATCGTTTCACAATTCTGAGGCTTATGACACGCTCATTTCTATTGACACATAGAAAAGTGACACAAAGAAATTGACAATCTCAGAAATGATACTCGGCTTTGATTAGCTCTAATTCGTTAGCTCAACAGATTGCCGCATCTGTGTTGTTAAAAACCGTATAAATAATATAGGGTCAGACTTTAAAAAAAAAAAAAATTTCACCTGTGCTCCTTGCTATGTTGCAGTGCTGTATTTCATGAAATTTTAATTTTTTTATTGGCTTCGTAGTAACAGATTACTTATTGCTGCCGAGTAATAAGTATAATTCCAAGAATAACTACAAAGCATTTGAAAATTGATTGTTACATCGGGCACTACAAATGTAATAAACAAGTGAATTTTTGAAACAACTCAACGTTGAAGTTGATTCGGTGACGTTGATTTAAAAAAAAAAAAAAGAAAGAAAGAGAAAAAAATTATTCGTTAAATTTTTAACAACACTTTGTTGGAATTTATTCGATCGTTTGATGCAGAGTGCATTTCCATCTCTTTTAACTGCATCTGAAATTAGGGAAATTTAATCTGTGTTTTTTCCTGACTGCTCAAAGAAATGTAAATGTAAATCAGTTTCTACATTAGCAACTTCCAGGTTAATTTGTGCATGTAATTAGGAACCCCGTTTGCACAAATAGTTCCTTTAGTTTACACAGTTGCCTGAACAATGCAGCAAACATACTGTTGCTGATTTATGCATGATAAGTTTTAAATTATTATAGCGCAATATTACAACGCGAATGCTTGACATTCAATACATACGGAACTATGGGCACCAGTTCCTAAATTCTTTATTGCTTCGTTGATTAAAAAAAAAAAAAAAAAAAGAAAGAGAAAAAAATTATTCGTTAAATTTTTAACAACACTTTGTTGGAATTTATTCGATCGTTTGATGCAGAGTGCATTTCGTCGTCTTTATACAATTAGCATTGATGAAAATCGACTCATCAATAGCAGGATAAATTGAACGCATTGCATTTTATCTGCTGTGAAAGCGAACAACTCTCTCATCCTTGCAAATTCAATTAGCATCACTTTGTTTTGTGACTCGATTGAAACCGAAATCGATAGAATTCATTAGGTACGCCACTAGACGTACCATTTCACGAAAATTTTCGCGAATTTCGTTATCATTCTTCGAAGATCGTTGTTTGTTGTTTCGGTGAGTGATGAGAATAAAAGTAAAAAAGGTAACTTCGAAGATGTAAAAATCTGCCCCCCTTAATTGAAACACATTCTTCATAGCATTTTTCGTTCTTACTTTCAACATATTGCCACGGTACAATAACTGAATGTATTAAACGAATTGAAGGGAAACAAAAGTAGTATCGAAGTATTTCTCAATTGGGACATTTCAATTAACGAGGACAGAAATTTACTTTGTTGGCACATAGTAAGTAATCAATCTCTCTTTCTCATCTGGAGCATGTATTAATTAATATTTATTGTTTAATTTGAAAATTGTCATTCATCTGGAAGCTTTGGATTGTTTGCTTGAGCGTAGAATGAAAGCAGAGAGTCACGTCTCGGTTTAAAATAAAAATAACGTGGATTAATCTACTAGTGCTTCTCCTTATTTTTAAGAAGAGGAACAAACATTCTAAATGGAGATTCTGAAGAAAGAAAGGAAAAAGAGAGGAAGACAGTCGGTCGAAAGTATTGTGAATAACAGGCCATCCTGCTGTTTTATGGGTTTCTTATAATACTTTACCTTTCTCTTTGATCGTGCCATTCTTTGGTCTCTGACGTTCTCAGCTTCTCCTGGTGGCCTCTTGCCCCACACCATAACCGCGATGCTGGTGTACGTGAACATCAGAACTGTTATTGGTATCACATACTGCAGCACCAATAACGCTATTGAGTAATAATACCTGCAACAGAGTTATTATAGGCATACAGTTCAGTAGAAAGCCGATCCGGCAATGTTGCTAGGAGCCATTATGATACCATAAATTCGACTGACGGTTAGACATTGATAGCTTCCTGAAGAGATTTCAAGAGAAATTGAAACAGTTACGTTTATCTAAGCCTACTTTCGTCTTTTCTGTAAAATTTCCAATTAATTCTATCTCCGGTTCAAGATTATTCTCTTTTAATATACAGGCTGAACTACGCGATCGTTTTAAATGCTACGTCTCCGTCTCCGTTGTTTTCGAATGCACGATTTTCGAAACTTTGTTGACGAAAATTGCTTGGTACTTTTGCAGCTGAAGGCAATTCTTTCATTTTATTCATTAATCGAATGCAACTCGAAATTCTCGATAAAAAGATTAATACTGTCTACGCGTGCACATCGGGAAACTGTAAGTTTAGATATTCTATTTTATGAGTCTATCGTATGAAGGAACAGAGGTAATATTCTTATGCTCATCCTGTCCTCTTTCATGTATAAATTTTGTAAAGTTAAACTCGAAAATATCTACTAAATTAATAATATTTCGACATACGTGGATTAATATATTTTTTAAGGAATTATCAAGCTGCATCGATTAATTACAGCAAAAAAAATATATCGTTCTACTCTCAAAAAGATGGAGGTGATTCTAAAATGACCTTGAACCCTCCATTTGCGAAAAAGCTATTACTAATTTTCTTCGTATATTCAGAAAACAGCAGAGATATTCAAACTGATTGCGTGTATTTACGGTCAAAATTTCACCCGAGATTTAATCGATTTTGACAAACTAGAATTTTAATTAGGAATTTTTTAAGTTATACGTGCATTGTCTGCCTTCGCAGAATCAATATGTATAGACAGATGAATATGGATGGATATGAATAATTACTTGTTCTCCATCGATGGCCAAATTTCCATGCAAATGTATTGATTGCATTTTTTATATTTCTCCACTGGTTGAAACAGCTTCGAAACGACAGCGATAGGCAGCGATATTACCATAGCAAGCATCCACACGGCTAAAATCAGAAGCTGAGCTTGCCGTTTGCTCAATCTTGGCTTCAGTGGCCACATAATGGCTATGTAGCGATCTATACTAATCGCAACAAGTGTGTACGCGCTCACCAACACTGACACCGCCTGTGAAAATGAATATTTTTACATTAACGAATCATTTCACATCGCTGTTGTTAATTCTTCGAAAACTCGGCAAAGCGTTTCAGGCAAACGATTTACTTTTCGCATCCATGAATGAAGTTACAAATATAAATTATTATTCATATATTGCAAAGAAAAACTCTAATTAGATTCTACGGATCTAATTGTCGGTGTATCTGGATTTTCGAAAGGACAGGCTTGTCACTGATAACCAGATGTCCCTTTATCATCATATTGAGCTTAGGCTTTGCCGATTACGATGTCACGATTCACCGCAAAATCAAGGATCAACCGATGAATTTTGAGGTTCAAGTTTCAGCAAAGGGAATTTAGCGTTACTCTAATGTAGTTTACAGTTTACACGAATATCGTGGAGAACTCGAGGTATAATGATTGTAGGTGGTTGGAATTGCGAATGAAATTTTGATTTGACTATCGATCTACATATATATTTTATTTAGACAAGACTGGTTTATAGTGTCTCCTAAAATTTATAAAATTCTTTAGAGAACTCATTATTGGCTCACATTTTAAGAGTTTAACATTATCGCATAATGAACTGAAATTTAATCTTGGAGTTTAAAAAAATACAAATTTAAAATGTTAAAACATCGTTAGGGAAAATTCGTGGCGAAAGTTGGGGGAATCAGAGTCCCAGTGAAGGAGCTTTTCGAGAATTTTTCGATTTATCTGATAATTACTTCTTTTAAGAAACATTTCATTTCACGAATGAATCACTTGACTAAATTTTCCAAAGAGAATCACTTGACTAAATTTTACAAAATTTCATCTTTATTGACGATTAAAATCTTGTGTTGAATTTAACCAGAAATCTTAGCACAGAATTACGGAATGAAATCTGCTAGGTCGATGAAGTATTATTGGAACCATAACTCTTCTTTCTTCAACTTGTCTTTTCGTCCAATTCTTTCTTCTACAGCGATTTCATGATAGTTACAAAGTATCTGAGAATACTTGAGCGTCCCAGTCACGAAAGTGAACGGTATTCAAACAAGTGGCAGACAACAGGCGATTGTCTTCCTTGGTACTTCGTAGCCATCCTAAATCAATATTTTCTCGAACTCTGGTAGTTAATCCAAATTATTAAGAAGATTATTAATCGATCAGAATTTATGTAAGACAACGATTATCATAATACTTGGGAAAAGTTTGTAGAAGTTAGTTAGTAGGAAATAAAAATAGAATTCTTACTAAATTCTTAACGATTTTTTTTTCTTTTCATTTTATTTCAATTTCCATAGATTTCGTAACACTTATGGCTGTTCTATATTCTTATTGGTCCTGCTGCCTATGCTTCTGATATCAGTAACATTCAAATGTTAGAAAATATAGGAGAAACATGGTAAAATGGTTAATGGAACCTGTTTAGTTCCCTCGATCGAAAGAATTTCTTTATATGAATTTATTAAAATTGGCTCGCTTAACACGTTCCGTGGCAAGCGATTTTTGCCTTTTGTTGTCGTTCAGGCCATGTCAAAAATGTTGTAGAAAGCACACATTGTAATTTAACACGTTCCGTGTCAAGCGATTTTTGCCTTTTGTTGTCGTTCAGGCCATTTGATATTAATGTAGGAAATGAAAAGATAGTTACGCCGAAATCAAGAAGTTCCGTGCCAAGCCATTTTTGCCTTTTGTTGTCGTTCAGGCCATTTGATATTTTGGAAGCCATTTTTGCCTTTTGTTGTCGTTCAGGCCATTTGATATTTTGACTAAAATGTTGATATATTATCACACAATCTTTCGTTCACATCATCAATCGATAAGTAGTTCTCTTGTAGTATATTATCACACAATCTTTCATCACATCTTGAATCATTTTTCTTTTCATCACAGATCAAAATAAAAGAAAAAAAAAAAAAGAGGAAAATTATTTTACTATAACAGTTGATATTATTGGAATACCTACATCAAAGGAACAATCTTTCACCAATGATAAATCCTTACTTTCCTAACAAAATCTCTAAAAGTATCTCTTAATGGTACAATATAAAAATATAATATAAAATCCTCGCCTGAAAATTAATTATAATTAATTATTCTATATAATTACATGTCCTATTTAGTTCTATTTAAATTAATAACACGTGATATTGACAACACCGATTATATCACATTAACCGATGTGTAAAATCGATGAACAGCGAGCGAACCGATCCGTGGATTTTGATCGAATGAGACAAAAGCAGTTACGTAGTTGTCGAAGCAGGCTCAGCTGCGCGTGTGAACACGGAAATTCAGTTTCAGTCATTAACAAGCGTAATTACTCACCATTCAGATACATGGTATTCATC